TATATATATATATATATTGATTTATGCATTTAACTGGCAAAGGATTTTGTATGTTCAGTCAACCTTATGATTCACTGATCTCTATAACATGGAACAGCTAAGCACATGACACCCATGACGCCCTTATTTTAGTTTCTCAGCTTCCTGTGTCACCTGTCTGCTTTGTGGACAGTGAATCAGCAGAGTGATGGTGCCTAGTTATATTTCATTGGGAAGACTAGAGGTGGTGACAGGACGGAGCAAGCTGTTAAGATGAAATAGCAAATAGGTGTATCACAATGCTGGCTATACAGTGTGCCAGGGATGGGTAAATCCCAAGACTGGTTGAACAGAATTACAAACCCTTTATTAGGCAAAATAGTTTACATACATGTATTTAAACTGTGTAATTAGCTAATTGTTGTTTGCAGTTAAAATCATCTATATTATTACTAGAAACTATGCAAGAGAACACACTAGCAGTTTGAAAACTAATATAAACTATAAGTAGAATTACAATGCTTCCTCATCTTGAAGTCTCATTTGTATTGCTGTAGCGAGGGAAGTCTGAATCCTTCTGCTGTATACACCATAATTTAAAGTTCAGAACATTACATGGAAAGTAATGGTGGCAGCAGCTTGGTTGACCTATGAATAGAACCATACCAATCCTTCTCATGAAATCCCTGAGCAATAAAGAAGACAGAAATTGAAGTTTGGGGTACAATGACCCTTTAATTGAAGGAAAATGTTATTGTTCAATACCCCAGTGACCATTGAAAGTGACAAGCTCTGGAGGTCATGTGGAAATCTGAGGTTCTGGATGGAGCACAATAAAGAGGAATGCTCCTTTGGAGGAAACTCTAATGCAGTGGGTCACAATGAGAGGAATCTAAGTGACACTAAACTCCGGAGTTACATCATAAAAATTAGGGCTGGTACTGATTAAAATTTTCGTGTTCGATCAAAATGTTTTAAAATCGATTAATCAATTAATTTCGATTAATTATAACGCACATACAGATCCAACTACATTGGCCTATACACATACAGCACAGCAAAGAAGTAATAAAATGAAGTAGGATCACACTAATCCAGCATGTTATTAATCTCACGTGCCCCACTCAATATGGCCGCCGCTTGAGTGGGGCAACTCAGAATAATAACGTGCTGGATTAGTGTGATCCTAGTTCATTTTATTACTTCATTGCTGTGCTGTATGTGTATAGGCCAATGCCTTGGCTGGCGCTTGCGCAGAACAAGTTTCCTGGGCAAACCTCTTAGTTGTAACGAAACGGGAAGTCAGGCGGTCGCAGAACTCTATAAGTTCTCAGTGTCGACCAATCACCGGCCCAAGTGGCTCCGTCGGCTAATGAAGGGAAGGGGGGAGGAGATCCGGTGACGTCACGGACATCGACGTCACCGGACTCCTCCCCCCTTCCCTTCATTAGCCGACGGATCCACTTGGGGAAGGGGGGAGGAGTCTGGTGACGTCAATGTCCGTGACGTCACCGGATCTCCGACGGGACTCCCGGAAGACCCGGAAGCCGGCGGAGAGGTGAGTGTTTTCATTACTGATCAAAATAATTTTAATCGATCAAAAAATTTAACGATTAATCGGGTAATTAATCATTAATTTTCCCAGCCCATACATTCAAATACCTTAATTTAACAAAAATGTATCTTATTTGTGCATCACTGAGCTGTAGATTCTCAAATCATCTCTGAATTGGTGCTGACACCGTCCTTCCTTCTGGAGGGTGGCTACTTTTGTTTCCCATGCTCCCTGTGTGTGTTCAAAAAGTAGCCACCACTCCAAGCTCACTCCTGTGATAAAGTAGAACTTCAATACAAATTAATAAACTAAACATGAGATTGTAGTCCATCACAGGAATGAGCTTGGATCAGTGGCTACTTTACAATACACACGAGGACCATGGGGAACAGAAGTAGCACCCCTCCAGAAGGAAGGACAGTGTCAGCACCAATTCAGAGATGATTTGAGGATCTACAGCCGAGTGACACACAAATAAGATATATGTTTGTTAATAGTTCAGGTATATGAATGCATTTTTAAGGTTTATTTCCTGAGCTTAGTGTCACTTCAATCTTCATGGGGCCACACTATGTTGACTGCGGACCACACCTACAGTGGGCCTGAGGACAAGTAGGATGATTCTCACTAGCCCAGACACATGTAGCAAAGAAACTTGACAGGGGGTTCTAACCCCTCATCACACTATCCAAAAGTGAAATACAAATACCCCTCATCACCCTATAACATGAAATACAAAATCCTGAATATGAACAGTAATGTGATGAGGCTGGGAGACCAACAGCATTAAGAGAATGTGCATATGTATTCCAGTGCCAATTTTAGGACTTTGGTTTTCTCACCGGTTGGTTGGGCAAACTCCTCCTTCTCCATGAAAACCACCATCCCCGACTTTGAGGGGGCATCCTCTGCTGAGTCAGCTGATCGATCACCCCCTACAGACAGCAGGGACAATAATGAGCAAAAAGAACAGTGCAGATAGAAGGCTGATGTTAGCTACTATAAATTACCCGGGGCAGCTCTTGGTTGAAGGCTTGCATGCACAGTATGATAGGGGCAGCTGTTGTCCAATTGTAATACCTTTAAGTAATAAAAATTAAATAACATTAGTAAATCATTAAGGGTGTTCTTAAAAGTAGGAGGGGGTAAAAAGCCACGAGTACATTAATAGTATATTTGTTAAAGGGAAAGTGCAGCATTTTTGTTAAAGTTTTACAAATATGTCTGTAAAAAAGGAAAAAATCCATATTTGCCTATTACATATGCAGGCTTGGCTTCCTACTTAGTAGTGTTGCAGATTGGATGTTTACTGATTTTCCATCACAAGGCAAGTTTTCCAGCCCAGGAACTGTTTGAAAACAATTACAAGTGAAGCTAAGCCTGGCAATAAGGATTCTGACTGTCTCGATTTGACACCCCAATATAATGCTCTGTCAAGGATCAGATTATTTAGTTACCTCTAGGAGGAGAAGCAGAAGTGGTTTTGAACCTGGAAGTGCTCATTAGAACTCACAAAGATTTTGAAACTTAGTAGAACTTCTCTATGTGACCTTCCTGATCTTTCCCACTTCTTTAACTCTATAGTTTTCCTTTAAAGGATAACCTAGAGCACATTGTCACTGTTAATCTATCCCGGACCACCAAGTCATATAGTACGGTAGCTGTCTACAATAAGCACAGAGGAGCAGTAAGGTGCTTTAGTATCTTCTTGTCTGATTGAATGTCTTCAGCGCATAGTCATATATAAGGAGTTCTATACTGCACTGCACCGATGTAATCACTAGAGAAACAGATTAGAAACTGCTGGATCTGCTGCTGCATCTGCATTATTGTATCAAGCCCTGCCCATCCCATGAGATTAAACAAAAATGGTAAACAGAATGCTTCTATAGAGTGATCCCTCGTGCCTTCATTTTTTCTGGTTTGTGGTATGTGGCTCTCTATCCTGTATAATGCAGCCTGCAGATCAGTACAGATTGCAGACAGGGTGAATGTAAACAAAGGAATGTTCATACTGGCCTATATAGGTGGCGTATGGAGATGGCACAACATATACTGACAGTGTAAAGAGTGTCACTGGCTGGAACTGGAAAATAAACGTATTCAACAGAAATGAAAAGAGAAGAATAAATAACAAAGACAGCAGAGGAAATGTTATAAAATGGTTCCCACTTATTGTGTATCTGGAGCACCAGTCTTGGGTTGTCTATCAGTGAAGGGTTTTGGCAGAAATCAGAGTATGAGATCTTGTATTTCTGGAACCTGTCTGTGTGTGGAGAGAAGACGATTAGAATGCAGAGGAACACAACATGGTGTAAATGTAAAACTAGACATAGATGTCAAAGGTTAGATGTTCCCACCCAATCCGACCTCTGAACAATTTTTCTACCACCTAGATATGGACACTGAAGGGCTAACCCCAACGTTACTCTTATCTTCTGTGAAAGATAATTAACATCTGATATGAATAACCTGGCTAATAGATTTTTCATCCCAAGTGTGTTGGCTATAGTAGGGAATATACGGGTAGATTTTCAAACAAACGTTCATACGAAAGATCCCGTTGGAATGTTCGATAATGCCATCAGAGACTTGCCTATAGTTGTTGGAAATTTCATTTGATTTTCCTTTCCATGTAACATTTGCTTTCAAAATTAATGGAGTTTCCCGAACAAAAACCACATCCACTGCCAGAATTTCGTTCAATAGAGAAAAAGTTTCCAACATGCTCCTTCAAATTTTTTAATCACTGTAGTCGAAATCTATCATTGATTTAACCCCATCAATGATTAAAATCTCAGACGAACATTCCAAAATCGATTTTGTGCATTCGAAATTCTAACCGTTTATACCCTGCTTTAGGTCTCTCAGGAATTCTCTTATATCTATGAGAGAGTAAACAATAGCGTAGGGAATTTTTGAATAGAGTAGAGGATTTTTGGAAAGAGTAGGTAATGGTTACAGTTGATGTCTGTGTCCCATGAGGAAGATTTCCCATCATGTCCGGAAGACATAACAGGAACGCTCTGCAAAGTGAGGACAAATCCCCTCTTAGACAATAGAATAGGTGCCCCCATTAAAAGATTTCCCTCACCATCTGTTCTGGAGACAACTATATCATTTTGAGTTTTCCAGGACTTTCATCCTGTGTCCAATACATAGAGAAGTGAATCTCTTCAGCAGGGACAAAGACAGCAATTAAAAGGTGTTCAAACCTGTCCCTACTCTATCCAAAAAATATGTTTTGACTAGAGATACACTATAAGCACTCAAACTGATAAAGTAGGCTAAAAGCAAAAAAAGGGTTCTGTAGTATAAAGGATCCACCAACAATTCGTATACAGTATAATACTAATTGAAACAAACTACTGTACTGATACCGACTTTATCACTGTCAACATACCTTCAGGGATTTTCCAGGAGTCTGCAAGGCCTCCACATAGTGACAACGCTACACATGACATGGGTGACTCTATGTTGTCACCTGGTACATTTTCAGAGTTGTGCTGATGAGGTGGGGGAGGTGGATGTGGTTCACTGTGGGAAGGAAGACAGAAGACTTCTCAAAGTCTGATGGACTGTAAATGTCCAGTACATTTTAAAGCCGAACTCTGGGATAAGAAAACATTGTCTAACTAAAAGGGGGGTGTGTATTCTTCCTGTAATCTTGGTGTGCTTTGTGTATTCCATCCAGATCTGTACAGTAATCCAGTGTGAAACTTGGAGCTTCCATTAGTAAAGACCAATCACTGTCGCTCTCTCTCCTTGTGCAGGGTGACTGGTCTTGTCTCTGCCCCCTCCTGTAGTTTTCTGCAGTTAGCCTGCAGGCCTGCTGAGCCTCTCCCACAGCTCTGCTTTCTGCAAAGAGCTATGTACAGCCTGCTTTTTGTTTGAAATACAACAGCTTCTGCTAATGTAATATTGTCTTTTGAGCACTAGATGGCGCTGTAGTTCAAGTCTAGTGTATGCTTGTTTTTTATATGCATACTTATCTATGATATATATGTTTCCTGTTTGATGCTGTATTCCTGTATCTTCAGAAGTTACATAGTTACATAGTATTTGAGGTTGAATAAAGACACAAGTCCATCAAGTCCAACCTATTACGTGCAATGTCCTTATAAGCAAGTAAAACCTAATTCAACATTCCTCAAGATCTCAGTGCTTCATCTAAACACATAATCAATACTTATGATGTCACTGCTACTTTTATATGGTAATATTAGCAGAGATGGTTGGTGCTCACAAAATGGATTTACTGTATATCCTCTCTGGCTATTGAGTAACATATTTCAATGGACATTTTTGAGTCCAGAGTTCAGCTTTAACCTGGATAAATATTACATATTGCTTCTACTATTTTCACTACAGTGCAGCTACATTCACATATACTTTCCCATACTGACCTGTTGGGGAAATATAGGGAAACTTCCTCAGAGTCGGGAGAAAGGGTATCATCAGGTGAAAATGTAATAGATGCAGCAGGAGCATCTGCAAGAGATTTGGGAAATACTAAAGTCAAACCATAAATATGATTTAGAGTTTTAGGCTGTACACTAGACAATTAGCTCATTATTTAGTTGAAATACATACACTCACTGGCCACTTTATTAGGTACACCTGTTCAATTGCTTTGTAACACAAATTGCTAATCAGCCAATCGCATGGCAGCAACTCAATGCATTTAGGCATCTAGACGTGGTGAAGATGACTTGCTGAAGTTCAAACCGAGCATCAGAATGGGGAAGAAAGGGGATTTAAGTGACTTTGAACGTGGCATGGTTGTTGGTGCCAGAAGGGTTGGTCTGAGTATTTCAAAAACTGCTGGTCTACTGGGATTTTCACGCACAACCATCTCTAAGGTTTACAGAGAATGGTCAGAAAAAGAGAAAATATCCAGTGAGCGGCAAGTGTGTGGACGAAAATGCCTTGTTGATGTCAGAAGAGAATGGGCAGACTGGCTCGAGATGATAGAAAGGCAACAGTAACTCAAATAACCACTCGTTACACCCGAGGTATGCAGAATACCATCTCTGAACACACAACACGTCGAACCTTAAACCAGATGGGCTACAGCAGCAGAAGACCACGCCGGGTGCCACTCCTGTCAGCTAGGAACAGGAAATGGAGGCTAAAATTCGCACAGGCTCACCAGAATTGGGCGAGAGAAGATTGGAAAACTTTGCCTGGTCTGATGAGTAACAATTTCAGATACGACATTCAGATGGTTGGGTCAGAATTGGGCGTAAACAACATAAAAGCATGGATCCATCATGCCTTGCATCAATGGTTCATGCTGGTGGTGGTGGTGGTGTACTGCTTCTCCTTTCACTGTCCTAGTCAATATCTTTAAAGCAGAACTGAAAGAAGAATACATTTTGTATTAACCCTTGCAGTGGGGCTAACTGCTCATTTTGGTCTAGGGAGGAAAATAGAAAAGTTATATGCAGAGCTAGCTTGCTCTTGGACTAGTCCCTGAAGCCTCTCTCTCCCTCCGCTGCAGCTGTCTATAGTCCCTGAGTCATCACTTTCTATACAATGAGGGGAATTGATCAAAACTGGAGCAGACAGAATCTTGAGCCCATGGCAACCAATCAGCATCTCTCTTTAGTTTGCACAGTCAAGATTTATAAATGAAAGAGAGAAGCTGATAGGTTGCCATGGGCAACTGCTCAAGATTCTGTCTGCTCCAGTTTTGATAAATTCCACTCACTGTGTATAGGACGTGAGGACACCAAGGGACATACTATCACTGCAGCAGAGGAGGAGACAGGCAGGAGGGAGTGCTGTCACAGACGGCTGTCTCCGAGGATCAGGTGAATATAACTTTGTTATTTTAAAATTTGTTTAGTTTTGGATTGATTAAGATTTTTATTCCTTTCGTTTTTCGGATTTTCGACACCAAAATTCAATTCGGTTTGTTATTCGGATACATCCGAAGTTTCTTGTAGGGACGATCCAAATTTTTGTTTGGGTACAAAGTCGCATGACCTTGCCTGTAATGCAACCCCCAACAGCCAAAAATAAATAAATCTGATTGGTCAGAGAACAGTCACATGTCCGATTTAGTTTTATTCTGAACGAAAATTCAGACGAATCCGAATTTCGTTAAATTGACATTTGTATTCCTTCTAATTTGGGCGCGTTCAAATTTGAAAAAAATTTGGATGCATTCGAATGTCCCATTTAATTAAATTCGTATGAATATCCATTCAGAACAAAATGGGATGTACATGTCTGCTGTGTAAATCTCAGAACTGAATGTGGAGGAATATACATCTTTTGGGAGGTAAAAGAGCTCCCATATATATGTATTTCATCTGAAGATTTAATGGTTTGCCTGCAGTTCAGCTTTAAAAGGAAACGACAGACAGAATATAGGCTGAAACGGCTAATCCCTCCTTTTCAAAATACTATACTTATATATAAGGCATAGACCTGGAATAGAGATTCATGGGATTTCCTCTGCATGCTTGTTCTGGGTCCATGACTCAAAGACAGAGGCAGGCAATTAGTATTCAAAGAATGGGATCAGCAACAGCAGCTCCCCTTTTTGTTTCTGTGCAGGTACCCTTTCAAATGCATTTAGTACTGACCATGTGGCATATCTAAACATACACTATATTGCCGAAAGTATTGGGACGCCTGCTTTTACACGCACATGAACTTTAATGGCATCCCAGTCTTAGTCTGTAGGGTTCAATATTGAGTTGGCCCGCCCTTTGCAGCTATAACAGCTTCAAGTCTTCTAGGAAGGCGTCCACAAGGTTTAGGAGTGTGTCTATGGGAATGTTTGACCATTCTTCTAGAAGAGCATTTGTGAGGTCAGGTACTGATGAGAACAAGAAGGCCGGGCTCGCAGTCTCCGCTATAATTCATCCCAAAGGTGTCCTATCAGGTTGAGGTCAGGACCCTGTGCAGGCCAGTCAAGTTCCTCCACTCCAAACTCGCTCCTCCATGTCTTTATGGACATTGCTTTGTGCACTGGTGAGCAGTCATGTTGAAACAGAAAGGGGCCACCCCCAAACTGTTCCCACAAAGTTGGGAGCATGAAATTGTCCAAAATGTCTTGGTATGCTGGTGCCTTAAGAGTTCCCTTCACTGGCCAAGCCCAACCCCTGAAAAACAACCCCACACCATAATCCCCCCTCCACCAAACTTTACACTTGGCGCAATGCAGTCAGGCAAGTACCGTTCTCCTGGCAACTGCCAAAACCAGACATGTCCATCGGATTGCCAGACAGAGAAGCGCGATTCACCACTCCAGAGAACACGTCTCCACTTCTCTAGAGTCCAGCGACGCACCACTTCATCCGACGCTTTGCATTGCACTTGGTGATGTAAGGCTTGGATGCAGCTGCTCGACCATGAAAACACATTCCATGAAGCTCTCTACGCACTGTTGTTGTGCCAATCTGAAGGCCACACAAAGTTTGGAGGTCTGTAGCTATTGACTCTGCAGACAGTTATCGACTTCTGCGCACTGTGTGCTTCAGCATGCGCTGACCCCGCTCTGTCATTTTACGTGGTCTACCACTTCGTGGCTGAGTTGCTGTTGTTCCCAGTTGCTTCCACTTGGTTATAATACCACTAACAGTTGACCGTAGAATATTTAGTAGCAAGGAAATTTCACGGAACACCTGAATCCAATGATTTGGAGGGTTGTCCCAATACTTTTGGCAATATATTGTATATTCAACTAGTGGCAATGGTCACAATGTCAAATAGAGTAAGTGAACACAGACAAAGTGACAGAGTTCCTACCCTTGCCTGCTAGAACTACAAAAAAAACCCATTGGCTTTACATACACTTAACCTTCATGGACTAGAATGACAATAAACCAAATGCATCCAATGCATGTATAGACTAGTCATGTGTGGGAGAAGCGGGGCTTAGCTTGAGAAAATCATCCTTTTGTTTTGCAGTATATACACATGTTGGGCTGTGAGTGGAAGAAACAGGAACTCAGAATCATATACAAAAATCTCACACAAAGTTAGCACAGAAGAGACAAGGATGAGCTGCTAAAGGCATGTTAAAAGGCCTAAAGGCTCACCTGGAGGGACCTGGAACTTCGTGGTATCCTCTGATCCTTCTAATAGAACAATGCGGAAGGTGCCATCCTCCTCTTTAGTTGTGTCAAGAATTCCAGGGTCCGCTGGGGCAGTGTAAGGTATCTCATTGAGCTCTCTTGTAGGACTGGGTGGTGCGGACTGTGATATTTGAGAGCCAATATCAGTCCGAGTGACCTGACAAAGAAGAGAAAAAAATGTCATATCTGCACATATCATATCTGGACATATCTGCTATGAGAAGGGGTGGACTGGGCCAGGGGGCTTGTACACCGATGCAATCCATTTTCACTAACCTCTCCCTTGAACTATCAAGCTACATTGCCACCTCTTCCCATTTCCATGATCTAGGCTTCAGTGCCTCCTCTCTCACCCTCTTATATATACAGTCTTGTCGCTTCTTCTCCCTCCCCATTTCAACTATCTGATCACTC